CGTCTCCGCCTCTGGAAACGACTTCTCAACTGGATTCTTCGCCCTCGACGACTCTCTCGCAACGGCCCACACCCGGCTCCAACGCGACAGTCAACGGACCGCTCGATATATGACTCAAGGACAATATGATGTACGCTACTCGTACCCCCCTCTCTGACGCTGAACTTACAGAAATTCTTCGGTTCGGCAGAGAGGAGGGCGGCTGGACTCGCCTTCCGGACCCGACTTCCCCTTCGCCGGCGACAATCTATGCTCCGCAGCCCCGCCCTGCTACGAACCCCGACACCTCGTCGAACACGCTACACGCCAACTCTATACAATTCCCGAGCACACCGCACCCACTCACCGGACGCGTCCTCGACGACGAAGACTATCGGCCCATCGTCGCGGAGGCCGAAGGAACAAGCGAAGATGTCGACTTCCCTGGGTACTACCGGGCAGCCGGTTGCCTCATCCCTCTCGGCGACCCTCTATTCAGCGAGAATCGGCTCAAAGCCCCGATCCGTGCCGAATCGCCCCCGTTCTACCCAAACTCGATCCATCTCCTGATGGCCTCCGACCGCTCGTATTTCAAGACTCTCTCGGCGCCTACGACCCCCAAACCAGCTTCGCCGGACGACCCTCACTCGTGCACCTATGTCATCAAGCTGGTCCCTCGCGACGACCCTCGACTTAACGGCCATCCGTTCAAGCCGAGCCGACTTCCCGGCCCTGGCGAACCCGTTGCGCCGCACTGGGTCAACGAACAGACCCCGCTGCTGTACATCAGCGAAGGTCTATTTCAGATATTATCGGTCGGCTTTGCGCTTCGCCCGTTCCGCGAAAGCATAAGTCGATTTCTTTCTCAACTACCTACGGCCTCTAACTACAAGAACTCACAGGGCAGCCTCGAATATCGCAAGAACTTTGACGAAGCGGTGGACCGTCTCCGAGAAGACGGGATCGACCCTTACCCCGAGCTCTTGGGGTATTATCGTGAGGACGGCTACGCCATTCCTATTGGCCAACCGCCCTCGAGCGACCACCGAGTCAAGCTGCCGATCCGAGCCACGTCTCCTCCAGGATTCCCTCGCTCTATTCACGACCTCGCCATCGCGGCACCGCTGGTATTCCGACCGTTATCCGCACCTTCAACGCCCCGACCCCCTGAAAGCCAGTACCACGTTTCGAGGACGTACGTCCTCGAACTGGTACCGCATGGCGACCTCAGGCTCTGTGGCCGCATGCTCCGAAGCAGCCGGCAGCCTCTGCTCGGAGAAAATCTCTCACCTCACCATACCGACGACTCGACACCTCGGATGTACTTCATCGAAGACGACTTCAACATTCTCGTCAGCATGACACGAGAAGCGCAATCCGAGGCCTCCAACATCGACTCACCCGAGAACGGCTCCCCTCCGATGACGCAAGTACAAGATGAAGAGCTTCAACAAGCTCTGCTCAACGGCGAGTTCCCCGCCCTGCCCGACGAATACTATGCCACCGCCGGATACGCGATTCCGATGGGGAACCGCCCGACAGCCCCCTTCGAATCAAAGTCCCTATTCGCGCCGCCTCACCCCCCGGTCTCCCCGGCTCAATCCACGACCTCTCAAAGCAGATGCCGCGTATCTACCGCCCGCTATCTGCGCCGACGACACCCGATCCACCCGCACGTGACTATCCGACATCATGCATGTACACTCTCGAACTCGTTGACGACCGCGACCCTAGGCTCGCCGGGAAACATCTCCGAGCACTATACCGCGACTCGGATGGCTCAACTCCCGCGTCGCACTCGGTCACCGACGAAACGCACCGCCTTCTCTTCAGCCACGGACTGTTCAAACTACTGGCGCGGGTCTCTCATCAAGCGATCCGCAACCAAGCTCGTGAACAGGTAAGCCGCTCGACTTATGCTCTCCGACACTCACCGGTACTAACGACAACTCAGGAGCTCGCAGAAATGCAGGCACGACGTCAGCGTCTCGAATTGCCCGACATCGACATGGACGCCTCCGATCTTCAGGGCCCCATGCGTGCCAATGCACTCGTTCTGTCACCTCCGGTCCCGCCTCACCTATCGCTTCCCGATCCGCTGACGACACTTCAACACGCACCGCTAGCCGGAAACAAACTCTTGCGACGCCTCGACAGACTCAGGATCGCGGAAGGACCCGCAGCTGAAGACCGCCCGCCCACACCTCGACCGCCGATGGAAGGAATCGAAATCAGCGTAGAGCATCGACTCCGATTCCCGCCCACGAACGCCATCCTCAATGACCCCGGCATGCCATACTATCGCACCGACGGATACTTGATTCCCATCGGCGAGTCTCCGACCAGCGCCAACAGGATCAAGATCCCAATGCGACTTCAAACGCCTCCGGGGTACCGCGGCACCGTCCACGCGCTCTCGCAGGTCGACCCGTCCCTCTTCCGCCCGATGTCAGCGCCTCCGACTCCCGAACCAGCACCCGAAGACTATCCAACCTCGCAACGCTACCATCTCTTTCTCGACGCACCCCGGGACCCGGCCGAACGCCAATCTCCATTCTCCATCGAAAGCTCTCTGGTACCTCCTCAAGACGATCGCCCCTCGACGCGAACGCTACGGGACTCGGACCCGTACCTCTGGTTCGACAAGGCCCTTTTCGACTACCTCCATATCACTTACCCCCTCGCCGACGGATGGAGCAACAACATCAACGATCCAGCGACGTGTCTCCCCGGCCCCGAAGGAGGCGACGCGCCCGAGTTGCCCACCGTCGATGAAGAGACGCACCTCGCCGAATACGACCGCCTCACCATCAACTACCCGGTCTCCACCGAGCGCACAACGGTGACGCCACCCCCGTCCATCTGGCGCAACGAGAACGATCCTAGGTACGTCTACCTAAATTCGGTCTTATTCTCCAGAACTCATCTCTTTGAACACACTAGTAACGGCCCTGTACCGGCCTTCTCGCGCTCGGACACGACGACCCCTGCGAGCGAAGAACGTCCTCGAACCCCCGCCGGCCGTGGACGTAGCATGTTCCGGGTCATGTATGACCGGATATGCGAGCTCACCGAGGCTACTCAGTTCACCGTGGCCGCCATCGCCACGCTCCTCTCAAGCCACGCATCATTCTATCGCACCGCCCGCACTCAGCACGAAGCCATGCAAGCGGCTCTCTCGCAAGTCCTCGAACAGGTCGCCGCCACGTCCGACGCCGTCGCCGAATACGCTACCGACCACCGAAACTTCGTGGACCGACTCACCGGCGACGTACTCGATCTCCAGCTCGACATCAATGCTATCCGCACCAATGTCGAGGCCTGGAACTGGACACCGGAGGACGGCGACGAAGTCGACGGTACGTTATTTCTCTTCACCGACAAACCGCCGCCCTCGCTAACTACCACTCAGTCGACCATATTCTGCGCTCTTCGTCCAGCTCCAGCTCGGACATCGACATATCCGCCGCCGACTACAACGACCTCCAGCCGTGAAGACTCCGCCGCAACGACTCCTCAAGATGCTACGCGCCCCCAAGCATGTTCGCAACCTCACCGTTCCACCCGCTCCGGCCTGCGTCGCTCTCTAACTACAAGAAATATGCGCTCGGACTCGCGATCAACTGTAAGCGATACGTATTTGGACTATGTACATGTACAATCCTTCCCGGCCTCGCGAACTTGTATCCTCCGTCCCACCAGCTCCCCGACTCCTCCGCCTCGGTTATGAAAGTTCCCAGTAGTGTAGAAACTTCCCCTGTTGCTCGGAAAGTCATGTATCCTATGAGAAATGATATCGAAAATGTACGGAATGACTTACCTGGAGAATTACCGGAAATCCTGAGCCTCGGACTTCGAGTTTCTGAAGCGCCACCCACCGGGCCGTCGGAGTTCGAATCCACGGAGGATGAGTGGGTCACTGCGATATGGCTCGGAGATGCGGCCGACCTACCGGAGAATGTGCGAAATCAGCCCGAAATAATATACCTTGACTCACAAATGTCGTATTTCAGCTCTAACACAGTACAAATAAGGACTGAAGATGATATTAACGGCCAGGCCTATAAAGCCTCGAATAGACTGTCTAGTAACCGTGAGAAAGTGACCCAGGAATTTGGCCAAACCGGACGAACTGGCGATAAGGGACCGAAACATGGACTTGTGAAAAATCCCGTGTTGGTATTTGGCGCGTACAAACGAGTTGACAGGAAAATCAAGCCAGTACCTGGAGTATACCCAGAAGATGCCAAGGTAACCAGGCAGTTTCCTCGCAACCCTCTGATTGGCTTGACAAAGTTACCGGAGCACGGTTTTCTCAAAGATCCCCCGAAGGACGGCGACCTTGTCCTATTACGAAACACGGCAATTGAGAAATCACACAATCGGAAAGCAAAACCCAGGTATCTAGGCCCTTTCCAAGTCATTGGAAAATCAAAGGGCGGGTCGTATGTGATTCGAGAACTTGATGGAACGTTTATCAGGCGTGGCATAGCGCCATTCCAGATCCTACCCTATCGGGCTAGAATGCAGGAATATGTCCCGGCAGCCGAACTGCGGGAGGATCCGTTCAAGCGAGATGACGTCATGGATACCGGATCCGATGAGTTCAAAGCAGAACAATTCCATGAAGAAGACGAGAGTGACGGAGAAGGGTAGGAAGGCAGAAGAAGAAGTCTGAATATTCCACTCCGCCCATGAGAAATGCCAAGGGCATCCCTCATGTGAATCCTAGAAGGCCGAATTCAGGAAGCATGACAGCGGCCCCTGAAAGAAGCCACGACAGCCAGACAAACGGCGACCGAGCGCAGTACTCCAGACCACCGAAGAACGGTTGGTCCTACGAAAGGAAACGAAGCGCCACAAAGCGGAAATACTTGTGGGAAAAGTAAGGAAGCCCGCACACGCAAAGTACCCGCACGCAACAGTCTGACTGCTCCCCCCATACCGCGCACGCACAAATGGGACAGTCTCCCTCTCACCTCTACGTTCGCCAACGTCCTACCATGCCATACGATGAACTTTCGTCTGGACCTAATCCGTTCCCCAGCCAGGTAGACAACGCTCTACCTTCTCGACGCGAGAAAGACGACCAACAATCCATCCATAGCCACGACCGGCTAGAGCTTCCCAGTGATGCTCAGGATTTCGATACGACTGACAGCGACACCGACTCCCGCTCCGTAACCTTTGCCGCCAACCCAGAATATTATAATCACTTAACGACCAACATCGCTCTCTGGCAACGTCGCTCTACTATGACCCCGCAGCCGGGGGACTTGTGGAGCATCCTCGATCCCGATGACCTCGCGACCATGTCATGGGACGAGTGGATCCCCCTCGTATTCGACTCCCCCTCTGACCGCAGCATGGCCGGATATGCGGGACGTGATGGCTATAGCTGGTCCAACGGCCCACCCCTCCAAACCCTCCGACCCGCTCACCTGCTTCGACGAGAGGCCCTGGACGCTGAGCCTGGTCCGGCACTCCCGGCTCCTCCATTCCCCAACCCACTTATCCCGCGCATTGGCTGCCTGGACAACGGCAGCTTCTCGATCCTCGCCGTTCCAGTCGACGTAGAGAACCCCTTTATATGGACGCTCACGGCACCCATCCTCGGGGACGTACACATCGGCATACACATCCGCATGGAGTACGCCAGCACCTGGGTGTGCGGCACCGTTCGGTCCATATTCCGACTGCACGACGACTGCGTCACCTTTTTCGTGCATGGGATTGTTGTGTTTTCCGGACAGGTCATCAACTCGGAGCGCGTCATGTTGCGCGTCACGCCGGAGCTCGCCCGCCTTTCAATGCGAGATTGGACAAAGCACAACGTTACCAAAACCGCCGACGCGACCATGCAAGCCGACACGTTTAGCAGCTGGGAAGGACCACGGGTGGCGATGGCAAGGGAAGAGGACGTGTAAACTCGTTATCGATTTTTTTGTATTAGATTATACGAACGCAGTGCCGGGATATGCAACGGACATCGAAAGGAAAATAAGGGGCATATCGCAAATAATCCGACAGGGAGTGTCTGACACCAGGACAATGAACCAGTAACCAAGGAATGAGGTAGGAAGGCGCGTGCGAATAACAAATAGCAAATAGAACGAAGTTAGGACGAGTAACCTTTGCCGTTGTCCATCATTCCCCTCCTTACTCACTTACCATGGGACAAACGTACCGCTTGCGCAACTCTCTCGACCGAGATCTCCCAGCCGAAGAGACAGCCCCTCCCTGTAAGGCTCAAAAAAGATGGAATCATGGCTTCATCGCTAACTATCAGAGTAGTCATGGTAGAAACACCTCCACTCCAGACACCGGAGGAACCCACCCTGCAAGACTGGTGGATGGAGTCCGAGGAGCGTGCTATCACTAGTCATGCTTTGAGTAACGAGCGGGACTCCGAATCTACTTCTCCCACCTATTGGCCCAGGAATGATCCCCCTATCGAATCGACCAGTCATCTTCGCCCCCATACAACCAATGAGGCTACTAGGCCAGGCGAACTTTGGGATCTCCTTTCCGCAGAACCAAGAGAACACATTCACTTGGAAGACTGGATTCCACTCGTCTTTGACACCCCCAATGACACCGAAAGACACGACTTTAGATCTCGGGGGTGCTACACCTGGAACATCGGCTCTCCTGTTCATGCCCTGCACCCAGCCAGCCTGCTCCAGATCGAAGCCCTGGATGCCGATGAAGACTTGCCGTACCGAGCTCCACCCATTCCAGACTCCATCATTCCACCTACCACGTGCCTAGACGATGGTGTTTACCAACTTTATGCCTCACCTACTCCCACTTATGAGCTCCGCACTTGGGAACTATGTGCCCCCGTAGTCGGCAACATTTGCATAGGGATACTCGTCGCCATAGAGCGAAGCAATGTCGCCATCTCCGGAAGCGTAACCGACATTGTTCACCTCGCTGCACAATGTGTAACATTCCGTATCGAAGGGACCCTACGGCGTGCCAACCTGCTTG